GGTACCACTTCGTACACCTTTACTCATGGCAGTAGTGATAAACATTTCTACCCATTTTAATTAAGAATTAAATTGTTGGACAAAAAACCACACCCAGCAACTAGAAACACCCGATGTAGACGAAAAATAAATAGAGAGAATTATCACTGTTAAAAATAGACAACCACTCGTAGGGAGACCCATTACACAAAAACCACTACGCGTAACCACCGGAATGCCTCCACGAGCTTCCACACGCTTCCACCGGAATGACTATGCGCTGCCGCACGTGCTATGCCGGAACCACCACTGGCTGCCGCGAACTTATCAGTAATCACTACAGGACCGTGCGAGCGCTTAGATCAGGCACGAATATCGTAAAATCGCGCCGAAACACGCAACGGATCTATGAAATTGCATGATCTGGCCACTGCAGGTCTTCTCCTCCTTGTGATCTGGCTGGCGCGGGTCTTCTTTTTTGGCCGTGCGCTGTTCTCTCCCTCGCCGTACAGACCCGACCTAACACAAATCTTCTTCCGCCTCAATCAGCACACGAACGGGGAGGACCTGCCGTGATGCACGATTCGTCTTATTCTGGTTCAATGCCACACGCAATCTGGTCGCCATCCACAGATCTGTCGCGACTACTCTGGAACATCGGATAGATCTGCCGGATTGTTTGGCTGGTGGAGAGCCGCCGCGCCGCCGCCTCTGGTTTCTCCTTCAGTTGGTGGTCGGGACACAGATCAGATCTGATCTGATTCTTCTCTCCCTTCTGATCTAATCTAGTCTGGTTCTTTCTCAAATCCTATCTTGATACCATGTAATTAAATAGAAAAGTACAGAAATTCTTTCTGATTATTTTGTTTTTGAGATATATATACATACAAAGTGATCAATATAAAAAAACTAACATAAATTATCTATTAATTTACTGTTTATAATTATGTTAATATATATAAAAAGTCGCTTAGCAATGATTACACTATTATACAAAAAAATATTATGTAATCTTTTAACAATATGTTTCAATTGACAAAGAAAATAGGTTGGAAGACAAAGAACTGAAATCCCCTGCTGCTGCTCGTTTACAAGAGGAAAACAACTAGCAAAAAACGTGGCAAACATCTGGAAGGAAAGGGGCACGTGGCATGAATTGAGCTAAACATAAAAAGGTGGGCAACATGGCTTCAATGGGAATAAAGATGAAGAGTAATGTGAAGGATTAGAGAGAAATTAGAGTTAACAGAAGGATTTCGAAAGAGTTAGGTCATTTGTGCTGTTAGCCGGCTAAGACTTTTGATGACCGTCTTCTCTATTGTAACCATATTTTATTGAGAATTTTTTGCAGGGATTTTTCCAATGTTTCTAATTTTTTAGGCTATATATATTGTGTAGAACATTTTGTCACTATGGTAAGTCTTAATTACAAAGAAAAATCCTTCTTATCCAAATCTTTCTCTTGTCTTCTTACTTTTTCTCCTATTTTCTCTCTTGCAGTCTTCTCATTTCTCTAACATTTTTTTTTTAATCTATTAACACAATAATAGTCATCAGGTACATGTCAACGGTACCTGACAACTTGGTACAAGAGCCAGACGATTCTGACGAGCCACTTGCAAGTTTTATGGTGATGGCAGAAAGCAAAAAAGAGATAGTAGTTAACGAACCACAAAAATGGCAGACCCTAGAGGATAACGTGAGAGAAGTTGACCGGAATCTCTCTAACTTCATGAATGAGATGTATGACGCAGAACATCAAACCAAAGCATTACCCTACTAGAGGTTCGAACAGCTTGCGGAGATATTGCAAGGGGGAGCGAGGGTGGGAGAATCATCACCACATATGTCATTCTCCTTTTGTATAGACTCATGTTCGGAGTATACTCTCCATCCCAAAGCAACGAGATGTTGGGGGTAATTACATGCAAAAGCCGCGGACAACCAGTCGGGGAACCCTACACCAAAGATGGACATTCCCACCTTCAGTGGTCAAAACCTTAGAACATGAATAAGGGGATGCTTGAAATACTTTATTGTGTATAACATACCTGAAGAAAACAAGGTGGAAACAACGACCCGGTACTTAGGAGATAAGGCTGAAATATGATTCTATGGTTTGACGAATTCCCTAAAAATATTAGAATGAGATATATATATATATAGAGAGGAATTATATTCGAGGTACGGAGGGTTAGCAGGAATTTATGTACTTGAAGAATTTAATTAATTTGAGAAGATAAAGTGATCAACTATCAAGAAAAGTTCAAAGAAATGAGATCCCTCTTACTCACTGCAAACCCTGAATTATTAGAAAAATACTATATATTTAGTTTTCTTAGTGGGTTGAAAGAAGAATTTAGACCTGTGGTGAGGATGCACAAACCACAAACCTTAAATCGTGCCTTTGAGATAGCATTATGGCAAGAACATGCAATGGAAACCATGAATCAACTATCAAGAAAAAAAAGGGATTAACTATCAAAAAAAGTTTGAAAAAAAGAGATCCCTCTTACTCACTGAAAGCCCTGAATATCAACCTGTGATGAGGATGCACAAACCTCGAACCTTAAACCACGCCTTTGAGATAGCCTAGTGGAAAAAATAAGCAATGGAAGCCATAATGACAGACATCCAAAAATAATCTCTCACTAAAAAGTGCAAAAAAGGGCAACCTAATACCACAAGGAGGGAAACATAACAGTTCTTGTTATCATTGTGGTGAGAGGCATTTTCCTGGCCATCAATGTAAGCTGAAAACAGTTATGGCTGAGGAAAAACGTGAGGAGGAAGAACAGTAAGAAACTTTGGAAGACACTGTACCTCTCTCATTACAAGCCATTAAGAGTATTCCTCAAGTGGAACAGTGAGAATCCGAGACCTACTCAATAAAAAAGCAATCCTCCTAAAAAGTGGAAGTTCTCATTCATTTATAGATTTTTCTGTGGGTGAAGGAATGAAAAATAACGTGATATATGATAGACTCCTCACTATGGTAGTGGCTAATGGTCAAAAAGCGATTAATGGAGGGGAATGTTCGGAAGTTCAATGGAGAATGCAGAGTCGTCTTCTGTTAGAATTTCAGAATTATTTAGTTAAGAGGACATGACATGATATTGGAGGTGAATTTGATGCAAATGTACAACCACCGCATAGTTTTTGATTGCTGAGTTAAAAGTGAGTTTCAAAATGGAAGGGAAGTTGATAACATTATATGGAGCGAAGGTAACTGATAAACTGATTAAATTGTTGAGAGAAAAACTCAAGAAAATGATAATTGGTGGGGGTAAACAGAATACAGGGACTATATACTGTCCTGGTTCCATAGAATTAGACCCACCTGCAAGTCAAGTACCCATGAGAGTGATAATAACATAGAACAAGTGCTGTAAGCCTCCTAGGATATTTTTGAAGAATCAAAAGGGCTCCCACATTCCAGGGGCTTATATTATGCCATACCTCTTGCAAATGGCAGTTCTCCAATTAATCTAAGACCCCCATAGATATCTATATTTCCATAAGAAGGAGAATGAACAACTACTAAGAAAAATGTTGAATCCTTCAATCATCCAACCAGACCATTTTCCATTTGCATCTCCAGTCTGGTAAAAAAAGTATGGAACTTGGAGATTTACGTGGATTATAGAGAGCTCAATAAGATTACAGTCAAGGATAAATTTCCAATCCCTATTATTGATAATCTCTTAGATGAATTACATGAGGTGGCAGTATTTTAAAAAATAGACTCGAGGTCTGGATATCTCCAAATAAAAATGAAAGAGGAAGAAGTCTATAGAAAACAGTCTTCTGGACCCATAATGGGCACTATAAGTTCAGAGTTATGCTCTTTGCCTTAACCAATGCACCGACCACCTTTCAATCCTTTTATGAATCACATATTTGAAGCTTATTTGAGGGAGTTTGTACTTGTCTTTTCTGATAATATTCTGGTTTACTGTCCTT